TACTATATATAACGTTTGTTTCTCTAATAAAGATATATCCAATTTTTCTTTTATTCTTACAGAAATATTCCGCGGAATATTTGTTTTGAGTGTTTCATAGCTATTCCATTGAATCGCTGCTACGTTTCGAAGGGTATTTATTAAATATATCGTATAGTACGTATTACGTATTGGTATTACGTATTCTCCCAATATCTTCTGTGGTGAACGCAACGGGCAAAAAGCGGAGAAATTACATTCTTTCGCGGGGCGGCAGTTGAAAAAAACGGGGACTCTGAAATAACATCCAGATCCTTCTTCCTCATGTCCGCGAGGGGATAATCCATGCGCGAGCGTTGACTCGCAACGATGAAAAACTTTACGAGCCGATTACAAAAAGCGCGGATAACCTTTTCCATCCAGAAGGATTTCCGTTGATCCAGCTTATCCTGTTTGAAATCGTCGAGCTGCGCCGCTGTCTTCCTCCGGGGGATGCGAAATTGACGCTAATCAAACTGCCAATTACAAGTATCTGACTCGGCGTGTAATCGGCTAATAAAAACATGCGTGCTCGATCGTTGTCGATCCGCCAATATCATAAAACATTCCACAATTGCGAAAGATATCGCGAGCGAGATGTATAAACGTTTCATTGCCCCGTAAACGGATAAAATCCCATTAAAATGCGGGCCAATGTTCTCCGCGTTTCGCTTTATCGTCGCGCTCCTCGTTTACATAGTATACCAGTAAATTCTAATATCGTGCTCGCCACTGGAACGCGATTCCGAAACAATTGCTAATTGATCCCATTCGCGGGCGACAGAACGCAACACGAAAATTCCGGCGCGCGCATCGACAAAGTAAAAACCGCTTCGCCGCGGTATCATTAATTACGCCGTATTAAAGTCCGCCGGCAAAAACGGCAGTAAATTCTTCGCGCGCAACGTTTCCACGGCGAGCCGAGTTACGGCCGACGCCGGGCAAAAACCTAATGATCTATCTATCCACAAAGTTTCCCAGAAACCGAAGATATTAAAGAGCTCCGAGCGCCAGAAAAGAGACTCCGCAAAAACTGAACAAAGATTGATCGATCTCATTCGCGAGATCCGAAGCGCGAGGAATAGAGAATACCAACACGCTCCGATAAACTACCCTCCGTATTCTCCGCGATACAAATCCACCCCGTACACTCGTAGATCGTCTTTTTACATCTCGAACGCGATATAAAAGTCTCAAAGTCCAAAGGATTAGCCACGCGACGTTGAATCTATCGGCAAAAAGAGCAGTAAATTCTTGGCGAACAGCGTTGTCCGCGCGACGAGCCAAGTCTTAGTCGCCGAGCTGCAAAAACGGGGCAATCGATCGGCCTGAAAGTTTCCCAGAAACGGGGGGTAGCTAAAAGTCCCCGAAAGCTAGCCGAAAGAACGATATTCTAGGGAAACGAGCAAGTTTCTCTGGACGGACAGAGAAAAACTCGCACTTTCACGATCGATCGGCGCGTGGAATTCCGCGACCGTTCGGTCACGCGGTCACCGTTCCGCCGCGGAATGCGGCTCGTTCTCGTCGGACGGAATTTCCTTTTGGGCGGCCAACCCGGGGAGGGCCGTGATTTCACGAGCGTGTCGCATTAAAGGAGACGCGCCGTCGGCGGGGCATCGCTTCTTCATTCCGACCACGGACGCGTCGCGTCGCGTAATTGGGTTACGGGCACGTTGGCCCACGGACTACGCGCGGCCGCGACGGCTCACCTTGACGATTTCTTCGGCGGCGCGGCGTTTTCCGGTGACAGAGCTTTACACTTCGCCGGGCAACCTTCCAACGGCCGGCGCGGCCAATTAACGCCGCTTGTTCTCTTTCACCCGAAGAATCCCGGAGAAACTGCCGGTCCGCGGAAAGCGAGAGCGGTAAACGGAATTGCGCGCGGTTCGAACGGTTCTGCGGTAAAAACCGGCCGATTGACACGATGTACCGCGCCTTGTTTGCGCCACCGGAGAAACGGCGGGTCGGGTGTCGCGACAAAACCTTGCGGTCGAGCGCGGCTCGACGGGTAGAAAGGAAACTGTGTTCCGTCGAATGACTCGGTGAATATTATTGCCGGGGACACTCGTATCGGGAGCCGTTGATTCGAATGAACGGCTGATTCTCGCGTTCTGCGGTTGCAGTTGTTATTCGAAATCGTTCGATAATGGTGATTCAGTGTTGAGCACTTCGGCGTGTAAATATGAAAGGTAGATCGCGGGAACCGTGGGTGATAGCCCGAACGCGGAGCGCACGAATCGCGGTGCACATTGTGGCAAACGGAATACGAGATTATCTTGGAAATATATTAGCCACGTTATTCAGGGGGCATAATGGGAGCGTAAAGAGAGATATTGTATGGATGCCGACAATGCAAGCATAACTTTCCTATAAGCTTTCCTGTACGCACGTGGCACGTGCAACAATGCACAATGCGGACTGTAGAGTGCATACCTCAAACTTCGAAATAGACGCTCGCGTTGAGCGTATTATAAAGTTGCAAATTTCGTACCGTCCTGGAATATAAATCGTCGAAGTGGAAGCGAGATATCGATGTAATTCGTTCGACAAATAGGTTCTGAAGCTCGTTTTAAGCAGATGCAACCAGGACAAGGGGGTGTATCAGGAATCCGAGCGACGGAGAAAAAAGAACGAAAGAGAGGAGTCGAATTTTCATCCACTCGGGCCGGCCGATTCCACCGGTACCTTTATCGTCGAATTAATTTACGATCGTTTCGATTGATACGCTCTTTAGCCGGACGTCTCGCAATTAACTCGATGCGCCAAATATCGGGTTGCCCGGGACGCCGCGCGGCCCCCGATCGCTTAATAATAAATCTGCGATACGTTCCAGTTCCGTACGGCCGACCCAAATAATCAGTTTTCTCGATCGTCGTTGACAATTATGACAGCGTGTGTGGGTAGGGACCAACGGATGGGGGTCATTGGGCCGGCCGCGTATTCTGGATAATGATCCGACCGCAAGAAATCAGGATAACTGATGTGGGTGCAACGTGATGGATTGACGCGAGCCGAGGCGTCCTCCTCGCGTTCGCCTTTCCCACAGCGAAATCGGATCGGTTAATTCGGTAACGATTAGTCTTGCGACTAATTACGTTTCGTCGTGCTTAAATATCGCACAGGTTTTTTCATAACATTCTATAATATCACATATCTCGATAACACGTTGAATGCCGCACGATTTTATGGTACAAAATCCTTGAAATGGAAAAATATAATATTAAATCATTTGATTGAATTGCATTGTTATTATTGCAGGTTCATCTAGCTGAATGTCGTCACATTAGTTAGTATTACTTATAACATAGAAATGTTCGCGAATCATCGTTTAATCGAGTGAACTACAGTAATTCGATTTGCTTGGTCATCGGTGATCTCTATGGCATTCAACGCGTTAAACACAGTTTACAACCGAAGGAAGCTTACTTCGATTCGCTAATTACTCAGAACTACATCTGAAGACTTATATTCAGCCAAAGCATCCACGGATGCGCCGCGATAAAACGAACTTCACTGTTAAAGGAAATTGCTACCAGCCGTGAAAGTAACTTCGGAAAGTTCCACGACAGCAAACAAAGAATCTCTTCATACCGCCTTCCGGCGAAGTCGAGAACATCCTGTTATCTTTATCCGAGAACATTAACCGATAAGCGTTCCCCCGGAAAGAAGCTTCGCGTCGATTCGCCGACTACCGAGTCAGCGAAGATCTCTCCTTAATTGCGAATCGAACTTCCCCATCGGGTCCGCGACTCCCCGTCGTGAAAATGGGAAACGCGGAAGGGAAAGGTGACGCCCCCGTTATCGGCGGAACGGAAAGCGTCGCCGTTGGACACGGGCTTGCACAATCGATTGATAAGGCCAGACACCGGTATCCACTTAGAGCTTCATCGCCGGGAATCGCTAATCGACTACCCAATGGATAGCTCTCTAATTGCAAAAGTTACCGAGTAGCTTTTTCTTATACGAACGAACCACCGCGATTCCATTTAGCAGACTGCAGATGAGATTCCGCTCGTTGGAATAGTCGCTCGTAGTCACGGGAGAGAAACGACGAGAATGATCGTCGTCGTTCACGAAGACAGTTTCTAAACTATTTCAATTTACGCGGCGCGCGGTCGGTACTGCAGCGAGTAGCTTGGACCGAGCGACTCCAGTTGGCGCCACGCGACTAGAAAAGGGGACCGCTGATTTCTCGACGCCGCGCAGATCTATTGCGCAACTTGGTTTCCCTCTATTCTTTGAATGTTCTCGTATAATATTTAAATTATCGGTGTTTATGGTGAGTATGATGAGTTTATCGTGTTTGTTGGATTATAATTTAGTGGTTTGATCGACGGTTTGACGACGGGATGCTAGAAGAAATTAGAGCGTTTGTACCGACGGAACAGCTCGTCGGTAAAACAGTGCCGATCTATAGATCCTTTCGGATTTTCCTAATAATATTCACGCTCCGACAGGTATTTCTTGTTTCTGAGTGAACAAGAGTTACAAGATACGGCCCTCGGGAGATTCTAATTCAAATTCAGACAGCCATCGAGCAGATAGTATCGAAAAGGAATTTGCTAGTCACGGTTACACATTCAATTGTCAAGCCCGGCTGATTTAAATCGTTCTCTTCGATCAGATTCGATCTAGCGAACGCCACACAGCCGGGTTTCTACTTTACATTCAGCGGCTCGCCACGCTTTCAAACGTGGGATCTTAAACGTCGTCTCATTTTTTTTCTCCTCCTCGCAATCCATTTTTTCTCAAAGGAAACTTGCGAAACCGCCGATTATCTCGGCAGTCCTCCTCGCCTCGACAGCGGGCCGTTTATTATCTTTCGGCTATTCCGGCCCGGCTCTCCAATGAATTTCATTCCGTATCGAAGCGTGACGAACGACTCAATGAGACGTGAAAAAAGTGAAATTTCTGGAGCACGCATAAACTGCTTTCGACTCCATTATGCCGCGGCAGTGTTCTAACGTGAATCTCCTACTCACCATCGACGTGAAGTAGAACTTCTCGAATTCCCTCTCGTTAAGCCGTGCCGTGGTCAGGTTCGTCGCCGAGTGCTGCGCGTGCTTGGTCAGGATGTCCTCGCCCTTCTTGCAGAGCCAGGACAACACCTGCAACCGAGGACGATTGTCGACATTAGAATATGCGTGAGCAACGTTGATGCTGCTATTATTATTAACACGTTAAATGCCGTGTCGGTCACCGATGACTGACGCTTCTGAATTGCTTCAAAACAGTAACAGTATGCAAGATGACTGCTATCGACTAAAAATACCTGATGACACAAATACGTTAAAAATAGTGTAAATATTCTGATATCAAATAATTCGTAATTGTTCCTATTTACTTTTGCTTCGGAGGAACAAATCAGGTATAAAACGTTCAAGATTCTCGTGGCGTTTAACGCGTTAATCTGTTAATCTATCACTCGATCGAACACCATTAGAAACGTAAAACCATCGAGAACATCATGCGAAACATGAATCAATGTAAAATACGAGCTCGAAGAATGTTCGACGCCTGTTGAGATTGAAAACATACAACTATTCAAATATACTCCTGAATAGCAGTCGATTAACGCTGTTACAATTAATCTGGCCCAATTAAGAGGTTACCGTACGAACCCTGTGAATTTCGATTGACCTTTAATTACCATTCAATAAATTCGAACGCGTTTCCCAGATCATTCCCGAGTAACACGGTCCAGATTAACGAACAACGTCCGGCGAGAAAGAAAAGCGGCTTTACACGAGTTTCTCAGATATTTCCACGGTTCCTCGTTGAACCGTGGCATTTCGCAGCCAGAAAGATTACGTTCTGTGTTTGATACACCGATCGCGCGAACGGTATCACTTAATTATCACGCGGGGAAGCGGACGTATGAATGTAACGGGCCGTCACGGGTGTTGCGCGGTCTCTAAAAATGATTATGCAAACATCGGCCTCGGATTTAGTTCTCGCTTCAGGTGGGTTAACCAGTTAACTGCGGGAGTTAGTTTTAAGAATCTCTCTCTCGTGTAATAAAATCGACCAACGGCACCAGCGTGCACTTCGAGCGCAGGATAAATGCACCTAACACCTAGCAACCTTTCGCAATCGAACGTTTTTTCAACTTCTACGATACATTTCCATAAACCAGTGAATTCCGCGTGTAAATCTCGAATGCTAATCAAGTGAAAAGCCTCGCAACAATCTCGCGTCAATCGAATAATTAACCCTTTGCACTCGAGAGACTCCCAGTCGCCAGATGATTCGATACAGCAAAATTATAAACTTTGTATACTGCATATTCACCTGAATAGGTGAAATATTGAAAGAAAATAGCTTCCCTAATTCATGTGTGATTTCTTAATAAATTCATTTTAAAGAATCTCGTCCATCTAGTTAGAAAGTACTGAACATTCCAAGTGAGAAACTTTCGAGTGCAAAGGGTCATTCATTTGTGATCTGCAATGTTTCACATCAAACCTCGAAGTCGCCTTAATGACATTCCACTGCAAAGAGTTACAATGAAAATACGAATGCAACACGAGTAACAATTATATATACATTCGATAAGGTAAGCAATTAATCGCCGAATGAAAGGTATTATTCAGAGTTTCGAGATGACGAGTATACTCGTCGAGTAAACTGGTTAACAAGCCGCGCTTGCGACATCTTTCAGCGGCGCACGGTGGCTGCGTTCGGGCGCACGGTTGCAAAACATGTCCGACTCGCCGGGACAGCGGGTGAGTAATTAGCGTCCGGTCGAATTCGTTGAATAATTAAGAACGGTCGCCGTGTTTCGCCCGACTCGGCGCGGGTTATTTATATACGCGGATTTCGTGCAGAACTCCGACGGACGAACGACAGCGTCGAAGCTTCCATTTTACGCCGGCCGTTGTGTTCCCACAATAAATACTGTCGCGTCGCTAAATCGCTTTAGGAGGGCTATCGGCGAAACCTTCTGCGAGGCACATTAGAGCACTGGGTATTTTCGCCATAGCAGAAATAAAAGCCCAAGGAACCGTTACTTCAATAATTTAGACGTAGTTGCTTCGGCACGTTTCGCCAGTTTTGTAGATTTACCGTAACTTTTACCTTACATCTGTTCGCCAGAAGTCGAGGCAATCCTTGGTTTTATTGCTCGCTATGGTTAGTGCCAAGAACGCTCGGGACTCTCGCGTGGGTCACCCGGGGGCTGCAATCGGCAACCCCTCCGGGATCACTGGTTGGGTCCCAATCGAACGAATTTTTGTTCGTTTTACCGCGTCCCGTTCGTTTGAATGCGCGTCACCCGTTCCCACAGCCAGACACCGCCGGCATTCCGAAAAGTTCGATAACGCCAGCCGTATTTTTCGGGAGCGTTCAGCGCCGCGTGCAATTCACGGATTCATTATTCTGGAAGCAATTATTAACGCGTCGAACCGCGGAGGAAATGAAATCGCGGGCAAACGAAACTTTCACCCGCTCTCCGCGTTTCAAATACTCGCCCGCGGGAATTCTGCGTGAATATTCGTGCACGCGCCTATTGTTGCACTCGGGATAATATATTTTCGTGGTACAATTATCGGGCTACCCGAAAGTTACTCGACAGACAGGCTGACAATGGTTGTTTCAGTGATTTCGCGAAGGGGTGAACCCTTTGCAGTGGAGAAACTTCCAGTGGCCACACGATTTGATACAGAAAAATTAGAAAATTCGATGTCTAATATTAAGCTTCGTATAATGCATCGATACTATATAAAAAGCGCTTTATTTTTCCAAATAATGTTCCCCTGACCTTCAAACTATCTCGTACGCGCATTATTTTGTGATGCAAGATGTATGGATTCTTAAATACGCTTTGTAAAAGAACGTTCAATCAGGCCAACAATTGCTGTCGGCCATGTTTTGTCAGCTTAACTGGCGATGCTTTTCTACGTTCGTTGGTGATTCACATTGACACGAGAAAGATAATGAGATGATAAAAATTAACAAGATAGTTACATTTTTTTGTACATGACCGCAAGTGGTTGAACACCAAGAGATCAATAGTTTTCCTTTGTTCCATTACCCAAGCAGTCGTATAACGTACAATAGCTTCATCCGCCGATTTTCTACATTTCAAAGAATCCTCGTCCGCAAAGGGTTAACAGCGTAAAAAGGGAAAGATTCCGAGTGTCCTTTCGCCAACGACAAAAACTTGTTGCCCGCGGCACGATTTTCCAGCGAAGAAAATTAGGTCCTCGTGATTACTTCACCTGTCGAGTTACTCCGGAGGCACCCCCGATGACGAGGGGGACTTCGAGCGGCCGTCGCTCCTTTAGTCGATAATTAGATCGCTGCTACGGGCGTGTCACGCGTGATTAATGATTCGTCGTTGCGCCCGGACGTGCCGGCGAGCGAGAAGTACGCGAGAATAATTAACGGGCGCGGCCGAGGGAGGGGAGGGTCCGCCGAACAGGCGAACGGGAGCAACGAGGAGCGAGGCAGACCGAGTCGGAGTGTCTCCGTCGCCGACGTCCACGACGTCGCTCGATCGACGGGAGAAGGGGCCTTGTTTCTGTCTCGCTTGGAGGGGCAACGGAACGACTTCGATCATAAGCAAAGTTGCCCGTTTTTCGGGTCACTGGGCCGAGTTAGGTGGACCGTGATCCGAGAACCTTTTTCGTTGTGGCCCGAATTTGTGCTCGCGATCGTTTTTAAAAATAGTGTCAAGGATCGGTTAGGCAACTGAAATTGATTACTCCGTTGGACAATGGTTGATTTCATTAACAGCCCTGAGTGGACGTTCAAAGATTTATAGAACATTCTTCTTTCGATACTTTGAAATTAGGTATTCATAACGGTTGATAATATTTACAGTTCTCTTTATGGAGCTTGCCTCTCCTTCGAAAGTCTCGTCTTTATAAGGGTTGATTCACCCTTTGCAGACGACTGTCGACACCTCGAGATGAAACTTCCCTGTTTGGAATGCTGAGTTACACGATTTCACTACTCAAACAGCAAAAAATCAATAGATAGTTCCTTCTCTATCACTTAATCATTCCATGTGTAATTTCGCAGAATCTGTCTTGTTTCGTGTAAAAGCAAATTTTTATACCTGATCCACTATAAAACTCTAACCCTTTGCCTTCACCCAGGGTCAAACGAGTCACAATTCTCCAATCCGAAAATCCCAAGGTTCCAATCATCCCGAGCGCACGGCTCGCGGAGCTCGCATTTCCAAGTAGATCCATTGGAGATCGTCCCGTTAAGGGACGCACAGGTGACCTCTCGGATCATAAGCGTCCGGGGCGCGGGTTATGCGGGTCACTGGGCCGCGGCTCGGGCTCACGACGATCGAATGCCGTCGGGGGCCGCGTGCACGCGTCGGTCGCGGGGCACAGGTGCGAACGTACTAGGAGCGTGTGCAAACGAGCCGGCCGAGTGCCGCGACCCCGGCGCGTACCCTGCGTGTTATCTCGCCTCCGCGCGCGAGCGCGAGCGTGAGCGCATGTTAAACCGTGTAAACAGGCGCGAGTGTGCACGCCTAACGGCCGATAGATAGGTATTTAGGTTCGCCGGCGGCGTCCGCGTCCGCCGGGATCGCGCTTCCGCCTGCGGTGCATCTTCTCACGGGCGAGCGTGCCGCGATCTTATCGCTCGCGGCGGAGTCGCCGTTTCGAATCGCCGCGCGGACACATCCGACCGATAGACGATTGTTCGTCCCCCCGGCTCCGTGAAATCGCCGGGTTTTTGCGACGGGCCGCGGCCACGGCGATCCGCCGACCCGCGTGGGTGTTATTTCAGAGGATTCTTTCGGGACATTCGACACGCGAGATTTATCTTCTTTCGGACGCGAAGAACGCGCCGGGCATTTTTAGAGGAAACAGATCTCCCGTGGTTCTCCGTTGCACGGGGATAGTCGCCGCGGCTGCCTTTCTATGGGCGTTTCGTGTGGGACCGTCGGCGTGATTATAGAGAACGCGATTATTTTTGGATCCACCGATGGATCCTCTTTGCGGACAGTTTCGTTTTGTATTGGCGTGGGTGCGCTTTGTTTCTATTTCGGGAGAACTTTGAGAGAATTTTTGGCTAGATGGTGATGTGTTTTCGGTTGAAGTTCGACTATGAGTTGGTGTCGTTGACACTGAAACTACCGAGCAGT